TTTTTTTTTTTTTTTTAGTTTTTTAATTTGTATAAATATACAAACATTTATATTTACAATGTGACGGAAATATATAAAGAATATAGAAAATAAATAGTTATTTTTATTTATATATATAAAAATGAAAAATGATGTGATCGAAATGATGACCATTCACATTGATGCAGTAATCTTCTCAATATATATATACATGTAAACAATGTATCAAAATAACATATACGAAAAATTGAGAAAGTAAATTTTTTATTCACATGCGTCATAATAAAAGATTGTGATCGGAATGATAACCATTCACACTGATGCATAATTAAATTTCTTCGGAAATATACGAGAGTATGTATAAAAATTGAAGAATATACGAAGAATACAAAAAATAAATAGACATTACTTACAAACACCAAAATGAAATGTTAATAATATGCGATATAATAACTATTTGCATTAACGCAATATTTAATAGTTTTCTTCAGGAATTATGTATTTCTATTTTTTATTTCCGGCTGAATTATGGGTACATATGCTGCAATCATTACGTCATATTCTCTCGTGTTGTCAATATGAACAATATCTTTAAATTTTTTCCACAGATAAAAATCCAATTGATCGAAATCTGAAAAACCATTAACAAACTTTTTCTTGTTTTTCAAAGAAAATATAAAAAAGAAATTTTATGAATGATTAAATCTATAATGAAACAGAGTCAGGCCAAGATAGAACGAAGTGCAAAATGTTGTTTGGTTTCATTGATATTTTTATTACAATAATTCCATATGAAGAGATGAAGATAAATATAGAAATGTTGAAGTAAAAATGGAAAGTTGCGTGACATTACATACTATTTTGTAATATTATGTAATAACAATATACAATAGGTAGGCTATACGGTAATATCACAATGCATGATTCACAACTTCATAAAAGTCTAGAGAAGAGAATATAAATTTTAAAGATACCAGGGACACGTATCATCTATGCCCCTATTTATTTCTCTTGAAGACAAAACGTTATTATTATTATTATTATTATTATTATATCAATTAGAAAACGTACGATGAAAAAAGTGTATTCTTTTCCTCGTATTCCTCTTCCTTATCATACTACACACACTTTTGAGAGAATTGGAAATACGTATATATACGTATATGACAAGTGTATGCTTGTGTTTGAATAAATTCCAATTCATAATCAATTGTCGTTTATCGCCTTCAATATAATTATAATAGAATATCGACGATGCTAAAAGCTAATTAGTGGTGTACTCACTTTATAGTAATAGTAATTCCTCTTAATTTTTAATAATAATTAGAATAATCATAATAGTAATAATATTGATTCACGATAACAATAATAATGATCAATTATATCATGGACAACAGACGCGTATGGTTCTTTTCTTTCCTTTTATTTTCATCTATCTTTCTCTAATTTTTCATTCTTTATAACGTTTGATTGCATGATTGATATGACGTTCCCTAGCTCTTCTGACATGATCGTTATGTATCTTTCGAATGATCGTTTAAAAAATCGCATGAAAATAAATTACTATACGCTACCGTAGTCGAGAAGTCTTATGAGCGACGGAATAAACTTAAAGGCTCGTATTCATAACACTGTATTATCACTAAACGATACACCTTTTGTTTCACGAGCGTTTTGAAAACGTTTTCTTTCTTTCTTTTTTTTTTTTTTTTAAATTAATAGCAAATATAATTTTTTTTTTTTAATATATTCCTTTTCGATTAACGACAAGGATAATTTCAGTTTGGACGCAAATACGATTTTACTCAACGAGTATAGATTATGATTATCAACGTTAAATCGCTAATTTTGATTAAGAATTAATTATCAATTCTCTCAACGATTGTTTATAATATCATTTTTTTCTTTCTTTTTTTCTTTTTTTTTTTTTTTTCCTTAGAATTTAAAATATTTTCCGACAGATTTTATAAATATAAATTATAATTTATGTTAAACATCAATAATGAGATATTTAAGGAAGAAATATAGTTAATAAGAATTTCGTGTTGTTATTATTATAAAGATCATTTTTTTTATATGGAAAGTAAAGGAGTATAGTTTGTTCTACTAGAGCGTTCTGAATACAGGCCAGATAGTATAAAAAATTGAGTTTCGTGCCACCATCAACACCTTTTTTTTTTTTTTTTTTTTTTTCACGTAAACTGGTCGTTGTTGTAAATTTCTCTCCAACAATTATGGCTCGTTACGAGAAGCTGAGTGAAAATAGAACGTTCCACCTAAAATTTCTCGTTTCTTCGAATTATAACGTTTCCTAGATCTAACTCAATCGCTATATTTATTGATCTATCTCGGTATATTCCATGGGATATGTAAAATTGTTCCAAAAAAAAAATATTGATCAAACCCTCTTAATGCGAATACAAGCAAGAAATGAATATACCATTCAAAAAAAGTTCAATCAAGTATAAATACATTATATCTATAATATAAATTACATTATATCTATAAATGACTTATTCAATTCAAGAATTTTTTTATGATATAAGTTTCCAATTGACAAATCAATTAAGTTAATATTAATATTATCCATTGAAATGAATTACTTAATTAACTTGTCAAGAATTTTAAAAGAATGTAATTTATACTGATTAACTTCATTCAACGTTCACACAAAATGCCAAAATTACACAATTTTTTACACAAATTAATCCTAAAAATCTTAAATTTGAAATCAATTACAATTGTATATAAATGTCAATAGGATAAAAGAAAATTGAAAAATTGAAACAATTGGACAATTTTCATATCCCGATTATGGATTATTCGAATGAGCTAAAACTGGTTCCACGCGCGACAAATCTAAATACGTTTTTTTCTAATCGCGTGTACTCAAAGTTTTGTACTCAGCACACCCACGACGAATTACACCACATAGATTAAGTCTCGTTCCTCGTTCTAATAATTGTACCATCGTTAATGAGTATATATCCGCGTGTATTTGTATCGAAGATAAAAAGTTTTCTCGTCGGGTACGAACAACATAAGCGTAAACGACGACGACGACGACGACGACGACAACGACGCGCGTACCTCTGATTGCAACGTATAATATGCTCATATACGTGTATACATAAATGTGTATACATATAGATACATATATATATATATAATATTATCTGGAAGAACAGATTTGCATATTGCAATAGCGCGAATAATACCGTCACGCCTTACCGAGGTAAACGATATCCGCATTTTTTTTATTACTTCGATATGTTGCTCTATCGTTTACTTCTTTTGGTCGAATTCATCGATTTCAACATCAATAAGTTCCTAAACATAAATACTTTTCGAATATAAAATGTACAGTTTGACAATCGATCGATTTATATTAAGTCAATTTTGTTTAACGATACAAATATACAATAATATTATTATATATCTCTTATAATTCACCTAAAAATCGATCGTCTATCTTTTTAGATTCATCGATGTTTGGTTTATAATTTTCAATAAATTTCGAATATAAAATATATATATATTTGATACTCGATCGATATATATATTAATTTTACAATAAATAGTAATATTGCTATATGTTATAGTTCATTGTTGAAAATCAACTGTTCACTTCTTTTGATCGATTCATTGGTGATCGGTTAAAATTTTTCGTCAATCTCAAGTCAATATTCTAAACAAATCTCTCCATTTTTGAATATAAAACGATCGATCAATGTTGATTAATTTTGTAACGATACAATGTAATATTGCTGTATATGTAATATATTATAACTCGCTTAGAATCAATCTCGACGCTCAAAATTATTAAATGCTAATCGCACCATTATCGTTCCGTCAATAAGGCGATCGGGTGTGGTAAAAGTTTAACGAGTACCAATAAAGAGAGAAATAGAAATTTCGGTACTCGAATTAAAAACGTAACTAACGGGAGTTAAATATACGGAGAAAAATGGATGAACCGGGCTACAAATATCCCTCGCCTCACTTTCGGATATAATTGCGTTTATATTAAATATCGAGTAAAAAGTAGTTAATCTTCGATAAGCTATTCTCCAAGTACTTTGTACATCGAATGAAATCCCCATCGAATCGCCATCTCGTAGCGAAATCAAAATCTAAACGTATATCCTCTAAAGGATATTCTCGTTCTTCTATATTTCTTCTTTGTTTCTTCTTTTACTGGACCAACGAGACCGTGGTATCCGTTAAACCACCCTCGTCACGGCATATAC